GAAGAAGTCGGCGTACAAAGTCATGTCGCCCCAGTTCAATGTGCGTCGGTCCTCTTCTGAGAGAATGCGCGCAAGGGGATTTGTCGCATTGGCAATCTCCTCGGGGACAGCAGTCAGACGAACGGGCTCAATCTCGAGCTCTCGAGATCGCTCGGCAATATATGTCTGGTTGTTGAGTGTCAGGATATCGCCATCATCTTCTTCGAAGACAGTGGGAATGGAGATGGTCTGGTTGTAGTCGAGACCGACGTGGAACTCGAATTGATCGCGGACCATAGTGGAAACATTGTGAGAGGGATCAATGGCATCGCCAAGCTCGCGTCGCCATGTGCGCCACATCTCTTGCTCTCCCCAGATCTCACCAAAGAAGCCCTGGTCACTGTAGAAGTGGTCGCCCTGCTCGGCCTTTCCAAGCTCGTAACGCTCTTGGGCGCGACGGAAATACTTTCGCATATCGCCGACGGGTCCAATGAAGGCACCACTGTTGATGTACTTGGGTCGGACGTCGACCATGCGCAAGTTGGGATCTTGGTCTGTCTCGGGTCCGTAGAGATCCTCTCGGAGAGGGGACTCTGGGAGGGCATCGCAGTGCAGGTTGGAACCGGACTTGGCGCGAGGCCAGCACCTCTTTTGGGCGGACACCATGATGGTCTGCTTCATAGGCATCTCAGACTTGTGTGGCCATTGAGCGCGAAGACGAGCGTTGGCCTCTTCGTTGAGAGCATGGTAGCGCCAGAGGAGTACACTTGGGGGGAGCTGGAACCAAGAGTCGGCGCTGTCTGCGACCATGATAAGGTCATCCTCGTTCAAGTGGTCCTTGCTTGAGCTGCCTTGACGAGAGCTCCAGTCAAGATAATCGAGGACACCAGCGATCTTGGCGAGATGCGAACCACTCTTGCCCCAGTTCAGGATAACGGGGGCGGGATATCCAAGGGCAACCGCTGTAACAATGGCCTTGCAGACGTTGACACCGGGGGCGTTGGCTGGGAGGAGGATGACGAGACGGCGGTTGAAGATGTTGCCGGCCTTCTTGGGAGGCTTTACCATGACGGGGATGCCAGCGGGCGAGGCGGGGGAAACGGGTGAAGCGGGTGAAGCGACAGGCGAGCTTGCATCTTGAGTTTCGCCCATCTCGAATACATCGGCCGTTCCATCGGAGAGGTATTGTCGGCCCTGCAATCGTCAGTCAATTGAAGATCCCATCGGTGGTTGCGACGCTGCTTACCTCTAGAGCTGCAAGAGCCAAAAACGTAGGAATAAGAAGAATTGCTGCCAGCACGAGCAAGAACCCTCTTGTTGACAATCGCAAGAACCTCCTTGGCATTATCTGAGTGGTCTCAGTCTTATCCTTGACGACATTCGTTGTCGGCAATTCTTGGTAACCGCCGCTGAACATTTGGCGGAACCAGCCGGCACCCTCGTTAGTGCCTGTCATGTTGAGAGAGAGAGGAAGCAGATTGATTCAGATCAGTAACAAAACTGACCAAGCTTAACCTGCGCTTCAAAAGAGCGTTTAAATGAATGAATGAATGGATGATCGAACGAAGGACGTCGAGGGGCAAGCCGAGGGGTCCCGCTGTGACATGACTATATACCAGGGAGTTCAACGGTGCTAGATGCGCAGAAAAGGAGAAAAAAAGCCACTGGAATTTCCAGACCCTCCCTTGCACGCAGTCCATTCCCTCACCAATTGCACATTATTGGACTGATTAAATCACTGGCATATCGCCACAAACAGGTACCTCTGCCCATTTTGCCAGGGAAAAAGGGACGAAGTGGCTTGCCAAGATCTTGGTCTGTTGAATTATCGATTCAAGGGAGGGAAAAAAAGAATACCAGAAGGAAAACTGACTCCACCTGTGCATGGCGCTATCGCCGACCTAAACCCGCCTAGAATTAATTACTTTTGGGCGATGTCTCAGCCCCGGAGGCTAAAATCAGGGGTTGGACTCAGCGCCGTTTTAGCGTGACGAGCGCTACACAGCAGCGGTCTAACGGACAAGCTTAATTTTACAGCGCCAAAACATCGCTGTCGCCCAAAGGATCATGATGGGAGCGACATAGGGTCTGCCAAGCAGACGATTGTTGATCTCGTGAAACAAATCTCCAGTCTTGAAGATTAAGTCTGAGCACAGGAGGAATAGTTGCTGGAAAGATGGAGCTTGAGAGATTGCTATAAAGTTGCCAGCCCCGACCTAGAGTTTAATCAGTTCGCGATGTGATTATTGAGGTCAACATTCTTCCCTTGCCCCGGTCAACTCGAGCCCACAAACCTCAGCAACCTGATGTTTCCTGTCTGCTCTTTAGCATCATAACAAGTTCACATCAACGTATTTCGTTGTCTTGCCCTCACAGTTAATCGTCAGATACCCACGGCAGGTCTGCCTACAACATGACCTCGTCAACTGCACGTTTCTGTCATTTCTTGGCCAGCTCTATCATCAACGCAAGAAGCCATCTCGCTTCTACATCGTCGAGCGTCTAACTCAGTCCAGGCGCCCGACGTTTTTCTTCTGTCACTGCCCCCTCCCTGTCTTCAGGTGCGCCATCTTCCCCAAGCTATTGGCATTAGTGCCCGACCGGCCTTCGCAACACATACAGGAACAGGAAAACGTCGCAGACCTCATGATGATCCTTATCAAGCAGCAGAAAATGTCAATTGAGTCTAACCAGAGACTAAAAAAAAAATCATCGCTACTCCAACGCTATGACTATCGCTAATGAGACCACATTTTAAGGCTGAAATGCATCCAGGTTATTCGCTCCGATCTGAACTCCTTGCATTCTTGGTACAGTATCAGAAATTCCTCCGGACGCGAGGGAGACGAGGGAAGTGTCTGATGTCTGAGACCTCGCCAATCATGACTCCCTTGGACGTCTCCCCCGTTAAACATGATTTAAGCATGTATCGGGATCGCCTGATGCTCAAATCGCGAGAAGGAAGATTGAGATTCCGATCTTATCGTGTTTCGGGCAGCGCCCACATCCCGCAAGTACAGGGCCATGGGAAATGGGCGATCGGCCTGCGTCCAGAACCCCTCCCCACTAACTGCGCGCCGACGATATTCGCGTGCCCCCTGAATTAACCCCTCCACGTCCTTTCGCTCCGACGTGCGCTTGTCCCATTTTAATCTCAGCGCGTTGAAATCGTCGCTGACCAATATTGGTGCTCTGACTGTTCCGTCTGAGGATTGTGATGAAGACAAGAGGAGTTTGTATGTCTCAAGCGTGAGGAATGGGCTGTAGACAAGTGTCTCCTCGTCCATCATCTGTCCAGCCTCACCCAGGTTCGCAATTGACGGTGTTTTTAGTACGGAGATATCGAGGCTCTGGAGAAAGGTCTCGTCGGCAGCTGTGAATGTTGGGTCTTGGGCGTAAATTCTCAATTTCCTCTTATCGCCCGTTGATAAAGTTAGATGAGATGCGATGGCCATCAGCACGACCAATTGTTTGATGCGTCGCTGTTGGTCCTTAGCGTCCAACAAGCTGCCGAGACCCAGCGAAACAATCTTGGTGATGCGCGGTCGGTTTTTTGTTCGCAACATGTCTTCAATTGTCTTGGCCAGGGCGGATTGGTTGTAAATGTCCCTGGCATCTTCGTATAATCTATATAATTGCTGGAGTTGTTTGCCAGATCCGTTGCCTTTTCTTGAAGTTTGCGACTTTTTGCTGGGCGTGTAATGATCTGCACTTGTTAACAGTCTGGTCCCAGGGCCCCTAATTGAGAAGCTCACCATCGCCATCGGCAACCTGCATTTTCTTTGAGTGTCGCATCTTTACTGAAGTACTCTTTGTAGTATTTTGTGTTTGTAACATTAAATTTTTTGGCGTTTTGGACAATTCAAGAGATGCTTTGGGCTGTTTGGAAGTGATTGATGATTGTTTATTGTATTCAACCTGAGGGCAAGCCTGCTTCTATTTAACATACCACTGGGCATTCACCCTTTGATGTATCTATCTTGGACATGCCTATTCTGTATCTGCCATTGCGTGCTCGGTGTTCGGTCTCTTGCTGCGCCTGTCAGCAAGGCCTTTGTAATCCTCTCGGACAACGATGCCGTCCGCATAAGCAGATTTTGGTGGAGGATGGGTTTGACAGCAGCTGCAACAATTTCTAAGCTAACGGCCGCTAACCAACTTCGGATCAACGTTACAAATCGAACAGGATGACAAAAGCTTCGATGACGACAAATCCGGGCTTATCGTGGAATTGACTCATTAAGATGGTTCTGTTGGATGAGATGCTCAGGAATAAGTTCAGAGAAAATCTAGTTTCGTCTCATCTATCCACTTTCCGACATTGAAATCCATCAATAATTCTCGCTATTCCATATGGCAGATTCAGCAGTGAGCAGTCTCTGTCACAGAGATCTACCCTTATCGCATTAGCAGACGATAAGTTATCCACGATAAGGAAGATGACACGGCTACCGGCTCTCATCTGCAACATCATTATGGCTATTCGGCAGGTGAGTCACTTTGAATCATCAAGATACCATTCCTATAATCTCTTTTCGTATTAGTCGTGACTCACGAGATAAATTCGACCTCAAAAGTTCAATCCTTCGAGCCATCGCAGATTGCGCACCTCGGACATTCCAAAGTCCGATGTTTCACTCGCCAATCTTGGCTCACTCACTTCCCCGAGCCTTCGCATTCGATTCCATTGACAAAGCTCGTTCTTACAACTGCAGATCCAGCTTCCTCAATATGATGCTTCTTGTCTTCCACATTTTTAAATTGTTAAAAGAGGTTGGACTTGTCAAAAAACCTGATCGCACGAGCCTTGTTCGGCCAGAAGGCAAAAGATAACAAAAGATACTCGACTAACAGACTCTGGTGTGAAAGACATCAGTTGATGTTAGTGTTACATCGTCTTGTATATCCACACAATCTGGGCAATTGATTTCAACAGAAAAGTAATATCATGGACTATTCCACTGCGACTTTTCAACAGCTAATCGTACACTATCTCAATCCAAGTTCTTTACATTTACGCTCTAGCTGAACCGGCCATCTGCCCATGGAACCTTCATGCCCATAAACGACGACCGCGATGACTTTCTCACCGGCTCTTGATTCTGCTGTCCGTAGTTCGCAGGTCCAGGTGGCGCGTAAGGCACAAAACCAGGATCAGGTGTAGTCTGGCTCGGCGGCGTATACGTCTCCGGGGGTGAAAGCGAGGGAAGATTCTCCGGTGGAGGAGTCTGTTGCTGCATCGGTTGATACGCCTGGAATGCATTCGCCAATGATCCGGGAGGAGTCGAGTGTCGCACGTTCTCTCCACCTCCGCCGGGTTGGTACGGTCTGTACATAGCAGGCTTGGCACCCGTGATAGGTTTCCTTCTTATAGGCCCCTTCGACTGTTCGTTTGTCGGTGTGATCAGCTCAGACTGACGCTTGTACAGTGGATTTGGGCTAAAGTCGAGGATGTCTTGGGCAGGGCTGTATAGGTCTGCGAAAGAGTTGGATGAAGGGCCAGATGGCGTGATAGATGGTCTAGCTATCGGTGATGCGATATGGTGACTCGGGGTATCATCCGCCACGATCTTCTCAGAAGCAAAACTGACAGATGGAACAGCTCTCTGAGTTTGGGCCTCAGGCGATTCTGGTTCGTAGATTGAACTTCTCCTACTCTCCTCTTGCATCGGCTTCGGGTCATCGTAGTTGAGCTCCTGCTTCTGGTTCTGCACGCTTCGAATCACTGCAGTGATGGAAGCATCGCCAGAAACCATCGCAACCCTGATTGCCTCCATTATGTCCGATATGTGGTTAGTCAGGATTTTGACGCATTCTTCTCTGCCCGCCTCAAGGGCCTTTTGCAATGCATTGAGACCTGCCTTGTTCCTGACCAATACATCAGCCCCACGATCAAGCAGGAACTGAACAGATTCATGATCACCGCTCCATGCTGTGAGGATAAGTGCAGTGTCTCCTTCGTTATCAGCATGATTGATATCGGCACCTGCGTCCAACAACAGGCGAATCGAGTCAAGAGGAAGATATATCGCTGTATATGTCAGAGGAGTCGAGTTATACTCTCCTCCGACAACCGTCACATCTGCCTTGGCTCCCAGCAGCTTCTTGAAGATAGCTTCTTCACCTTTGCTTGCCGCAGCGATGATGGGATGAGAGAACTCGCCTCCTCCAAGGTTAGGATCAGCGCCATGCTCGAGGAGAATATCGACAATATCTCCTTTGCCAGACTCAACGGCCGCCTGCAAAGCGGTACACTTGGGCATGTTGGCATTGGTCGTAGTTGCGTTGACGTTGGCCCCACGCTCCAAGAGAAGGTTGACAACTTCGACATGACCTTGGTCCGCAGCAGTCTGGAGAGCCCATCCGTCTGCGGAGTTGATATTAGCACCAGCATCGAGAAGCAGCTTGATTATCTCGATGGTGCCGTCAAAAGAAGCCGCTGTCAAGGCATTCCCGTATCTGTAAGTCACGGTCAGCTCGTTCTACCTCTCAATCATCTCAACCAAGACTTACAGTTCGCCAGTGGCATTCGCGTTGGCTCCATATCTCAATAGCAACTCCACCGTCCTCTGATTCTCAAAGTCTGTGGCTTCATACAAGGACTCATCCAGCGCCTCAGGCGAGATATTACCCTGTGAATACTCCCACATAGCTCCCAAGATACGAATCTCGTCATCGCCATCTTCTCCCTGCGCGGTTTGTAGGAAGGTTTTGTCACAGTTCAAGCCAGGACAATGATCCAGGATCAACGAGACGATCGCCCAATGGTCCCCAAAAGATGCTCCATCGAGGGCGTCCTGTTTGAACTGCTGGTTGTGTTCAAAGTCATGGAATAGCCGCGAGAAAGCTTCAAATCGACCGTATTCTGCTGCTTTGACAAGGGCGATGCCGAACTCTTCAGCAGGTAGTTTGTCGGAATACTCCTTGATCAGAAACTCGAACACTGCAAGGTCAGCCCTCATAGCTGCTAGAGCCAAAGGTGATGTAATGACCTCCTCCTCTTCATCGGAGTCAGAGTCGGAATCTGAGCCCGACTCTGAACCCTCGTCCTTGTCACTCTCCTCACCCGCATCGTTATTCGTAGCTTCCTCGTCGTTAGCCTCTCCCTCGTCATTCTCCCCCTCAGCCTTGTCGTCTTCATCTTCATCATCCTGAGTGACGAGCGAGACATTATGAGTTACCAGAAGCTTGACGGCTTCAGTGTTTCCAGACTGAATAGCCGCACAGATTACACCTCCGTACGCACCGCAGCTAGCATTCGGATTCGCTCCCCGTTGTAGTAGCTTACTCATAACCTTGACGTTTCCTTCGGCTGCTGCTCTGTGCAAAGGAGTTATAAGATTGCCCTTGATGCCTTCGTCGATATTGGCTCCTCTGTCAAGAAGCTCCTCAGCAATGTCATCATGCCCAAAGGCGGCTGCATAATGCAGCTACGTAATGTCAGCACATACACGCTACGGCTTAAAGTCTCATAGTTTCTTGCCTCCGCAGAACGTCATCACTTACCGGAGTGTTATAGTCTGAGTCCATCGCGTTTTTGTCCTCATCAAAACCATGATCCATCAAAGCCGCGACTAGGTCTCTAAATCCAATCGTAGCAGCAACATGAAGTCCTGTCAACTTCTCCCGAGCATAGTAAGCAAAGGAGCCGGTAAGTCGGTTGTGTTCAGTCAACCAACGACGTCGAATAATGGAATCCGCCTGCCAGAACTTTTCCTCCAGGCTCAGCGCTTCTGCAAGATCAGCAGTCGCTTGGCTGGCGTGAGATAGCCAGTGTGTAACAGCATAGGCCAGTGCTATGTCCTTGAGATATGGCGCTTCAGGGTCTTCATCCACCTCTTCTTCTTCATCTTCCTCATCACTTGACTCCTCCGAGGCGACAGAGGCGTTGTCGTTTTGAGACTCATCGTCGTTCTGAGATTCATTTTCGGATTCCTCTTCATCCTCTTTCTGGATAACTTCTTGGTCGTTTGCTTCTGGTTCTCCCGAGGCAACACTCTCTCCGTTATTTGGGCTGGCTTCTATAGCACCAGCAACCTCACCCACCGCTCCGTCTATTTGCTGAGGAACATCGGAAAGCGGAAAGTCAAAGGTCTCTAGAATATGACTGAACGCTCGGAAACCCAGAATACCATGCTGTAGCTTGATATCTTCGCTGGTGAGACCAAGCAGCATGTGTGCATGCTCAAGAAGATGGGTCTTGACCACTGGCTCAGTAAAGCACACCGTCTTCTCTTGGAGGCCATTTTCTTTCAGTACGATTAATGGTCTACACTTCTGGATCAGATCATGTAGCTCTGAAACTTCCGCTGGTGAAGAGTCAAGACCAGCAAGAAGACCAAGCTCAGCCTCAGTTGGATCTTGATAAGTAAGGACCAAAACACGAAGCATTTCCTTGATCTCCCCGGCCTTACCCCGGTTGTTGTCAAACACTTGTTTCCATGCAGAAGTGAGCAGAGCGTCTAATTCTTGTGGGATGACTTCGAGAAGACGACGGACTTGGAGGTCATTCTGATGCTGAGGAAGCTCCTCGAGATGGTCACATGTAATGTCAATCCACTGCGTGTTTTGAGCCCGCTTGCCAATAACACTGCTAGCAAAGTATGCAAGAGCTCTGCTATACTTCTTATGCTCGATCAGTTCCAGCACCTTGTTCTGTGCGTGCCTGCGAAGCTCGAGCTGGACTTGGTCTCCATATTTTGCGTCTTCAAGATCAACCAGTCGGACGGTATCCCTCTTCAAAGCCCGGTCAATGTCCCAAGATTGGCCACTTGTGATCATCCATCGAACCAGCGGGCGTCTTCCGGTACCGTCATGCTCAACCTCCGAGCTGAGCAGGGTTAAGAGAGTGTTTGTAGACACGGCATCTTGTGAGAGGGATTCGATGTTGTTGATGACAAAGTACACCCTGGCCCCAGTAAACACATCGTCAGCGAGGATATCTTGAAGGACCTGCCATAAGTTCTCAACAGTCAAAAGAGGCTGTGTTTCTCGACCTTTCTTCTTGAGAAGAAACTTGGCATGCGTCGCCAGAAGTCCCTGCCGTTCCAAAAGTTGGCGAATGAGAGCTTTCAATAGACTCTCAGCTGATCCATAATCGGGCGTCTTGTCGCAGAAGAAGTAAGAAAGATAGTTTCGTGATGAGCCCGTGTACGGTTCGTCGGTGATCTCCTCTTCGTATACCTCCTCGTCCTTGGTCAACTCTTCAATCTTTTCAATGGCTGATAATGCGGCGCTTGTTTTGCCGCGACCATCACGGCCACGGACCCAGAGACAATCTTCCTTCTTGACAAGCGAACTGTCCTCGCCCTCACTAGGCTTGGCTAACCAGCCCAGAAACTCTGGCTCTTTAGAGAACCACGGGGAGGTGGTTGTGTTCTGAGCAATGCTTTCCCTCTTGCTTTGGACTGGTGCACCTTCTAGAGTTCGTAAAGCAAGGTTTATAGTGGCTGGATCAGTGCGTCTTGTTGCATTGTGTCGATTCTTGACACGCAGATGTGAGCCGTTGATAAGTCGTTTCAAAGGTCCTCGGACTAGTGTGTAACGTTCATCCTTGGAGCTATCAAACTTGACCAAGTCTCGATGATTGGCAGCTAAGCCCATCGTCTCCATCACACCATCCAAGATGGAGGAGTCTCTCGTGACAAACTCCGCATACTTCTTGGGCATCGGAATGCTCAGAGCCGATAAGAACTGAGGCATCCCAGAGAGATCCTTAATCGTCGTAGGGTGCTCTTCATAGAAACCACAGAGCTCGATTTTAGGCGTTGTCTTGATTACCAGTCTCACGAACTCCTTCCGAAGCTCAGCCAGACTTTCGTCGTCTGGCCTCATGAGCTCGAGCAGTTTGGAGGTTGTTGCATGGCCAAGTTTCTCTCCAACTGAGGAAAGCATGCATGCCAGAGAAGCTGCTTCAGCGCCCTTGAACGGTGTTCCAAAGAATGCGCAACCGGCTATGTCTTCGAACATGTTTGGGAAGAGATCTTGTCTCGTTGCAGCGATACATATAGCCTGGCAAAATCAGAACAAGTAGACAACGTCGAAACGACGAATCATACCTTGGCTATGACAAGTCCTCCCATACTGTGCCCAATAAACGTGATTGGACGAGGAATGGCCATGTTCTAGAGTACTCGTCAGACTAAACTCTTGAGCTAAGTCGAAAGACGTGAAAACAAACCTCTCTACTCATCTTCAATCCTTCGAGCAGAGTCTGGGCCAGGTTGCCAAGAAACTGCTTCACCTTGATGGAACCAGTCCATGAGGATTCACTGTGATACAGAAGAATTCTAGCATTTGGAAAGTCGCGAGCTATGCCCTCCTCACTGGCCCAATTAAAATCGCTCGTAGTCGATTTGAAGCTCAGCAAAGGATGAGCTCCTAAACCTGGCACAAAAACAATACTATTGACGTGTTGGTGAGTCCATTGCTTCAGTAGTCATTTTTTTGGGCTGATGCTTACTCCATATCGGTCTTTCTGGTTGAGTCCGGCTCTGGATAGAGCTGTTTGATCCCCTGCTCAACATTCTCGTAGCCCTTCTTCTGCTTAGGAGCAGCCCCAGGAGGGCCGCCGCGTCGCGTTGCTGTTCTACGAAGCGACATATTGGCCAATTCGATCAGAAAAGTACTTGGCGTTCGTTGTTGGTGTTGATCTGACAACGTTCACGCCTCCTAATTTTCGTCTTACGGAGGAGTAGGTACTCCCGTTTCATTCTTGGCCCCCACATCTTGGCTTACTGGGGGTCTATGTATGTCAGCATCTGCTGAGCTTTTTAACTCGGCGTTATGCGCTTAACATTCATCGTCCAGAGTAAGCACTTAGACAGGCGATACCTCGTTAGTGCCTCATCGATTGTCCATGGTGCCACTGCCCGGTCTGGTTGCTCCTTTGGGCTGAGACGCAGGGTGTGCCTAATTAAAGAAATTGGACAGTCAGCAGGGCGCAGCGGCCTGTCCCCTTTTCCCGAGGTGAAATCCGTGGGCACAGAGCGGGCCGTGTGATCAAGATAATGGGGAACGCCGCTTACAGCCCAATCATGGATGGTGCTATCGGCCTTGAGAGCAGGGGTTGCCTACCAGCCTTATGACTGACCCTTGCTTGGTAATGGTCAGCTCTAATTTCCACTCTTTTCTCTGTGTTTACGCGAGGTTTCCAAGAGACTCACCATCCTCGGGGCATTCGTTCTCTATTTATGCTCCTTGAGAAACTTAAATCTTACGCCGTGTCATTGAATCTAACATCTCACTATGGCTAGTCCACCGCCGCCATTCACGGTCCGCATCTTACAAAAGGACTTCCTTAGCGACGGCTTGGAGTCCAAGGATGAGTTCAATAGCCTCCTCCCTGCGAGCAACCGCTTCAACGATGATATTGTCGTTCCTACATCGGACCCCAACTTCCTAGAGCGGGAACTATCGGTTTCGCGCCTCAATGACGTACAAGAATGGCTCTGGGCTTGCGGCCGCCCAATGCCGCCCCGGCCACTTCATCACCAACGGCTCATCTCGCGAGAGATCGTCATCAGCGAGCTCTCTGAGCTGCACATGATCTGGTGGAGAAATCGTATTTTTCTCAAGCCTTTACCGGCTTATCTCCTTGATCCCGACTTCTGGGTCAGCAACATCAGCGATACAGCCCATCTTGACGTGACCGAAGGCAACATTGATGCCTCCGCACGGGGATTTCTTTTCTCCTATGCTGCGCTCATCGCATACAAAAGCGACTTTCGCATCGCAAAAGAGCATGGATTACTGCCTGAGGAAGTGACATGGGAGGGCTGGAAAGCACTGACTGCTCAGGTTCTCGAGAATCACCGTTACGATCGCGTCAATCCGCGCTACTGGTACGGGGAGCTGCGGCTGAGCAGGCTGAACAAAGTCTACGCGCTTCGCAAAGGATATTTGCTGCGCGGCTACTCACGAGTCGCGTCGCATACAGTCTACGGCGATCTCATTCGCGACAATTTTTCGGTTCTTGCTGGTATTCTCGGTTATGTCGTGATCGCGCTCACGGCGATGCAGGTCGGATTGGGTGTTGATCGGTTGGTCGAGAACCAGGCGTTCCAGGATGTGAGTTACGGGTTGACGGTGTTTACATTAATTGTGCCGCTCATCGGAGCGCTGTTCATATTTTTCTTTGTGTTCATCATGATTGTCAGCAATTGGCGGGTCACCAAGGCGTTTGAGAGTCGACGGTTGAAGAAGATGAAGGTAAAACTCTTGCGGAAGAAGTAGACAAAGGAACAGTCGAACACAGTAAAATTGATGAAAAAAGGATTCCCAAATTCATGGTGGGTAAATGGCCGATAAAAATAATAAAGTAACTTTCTGTCGAGACAAAAGGATTGTTTGTCTGTGACCCTCTCAATCATGATCAGATGTGCCTGATGAAAAGAGCCCACGTCTCGTTGCAAGGATGATCACGCTGGGGATCGAACCCAGAATCTTCTGATTCGTAGTCAGACGCCTTGCCATTGGGCCACGCGACCTGCTTCTTTGGTATTGGCCGCTCAGATGAGGCTCTAGATCGCTGCAGCAAGCAGATTCACCAATCGAAGCATTGCTTAGGCAGTCACTTCCAGAATAAAATTCTCTATTGTTGTTTAAAATTCAATAATTTCGTAGCCTTAATAACGCCAGCCTAATAGATAATTACGGTCGAGACTTTCGATGGTGGACCAGCAGGCTGATCGGCGCATGCTGCTTGTCACACGGGAGGAAAATACAATAGACACTTCAGAAGCTGACACATCACATAGAAAGTAACAAAAATAAAGAGCCGGATCAACTAAATTATAATCTCTTTAAACTGTACATATAGTAACCTGTTTCATGGAGGTCAAGCACTGAAATCGCCCATTGCTACTACTGTGTAGGGTAAGGTCGATGAACGAAAGAGGCGCGGATGTATTCCGCCAACTTCCGCTCCTGAAACGATGTGGTCATCGTTGGACCACGGTAGAATATTGTCGCTTGCCGTCACGAAACGTCAAATTGCATTAAGAGACCCCTAAATGGTGATAAATCTCGATCAAAACGGCAGAGGACTGGGTCGAGGAACAGAATGTCCAGCACTCACTTGTTCCGCAAGATCCTGATGTAAGACGTCTTCGGTCAAACTTCGAGAATATTCTTCAGCAACTGATTATCTGGGTGCGCTCTGAAGATGAAATCACCATTATGGACTGGTTTAAACTTCCATACATTGACAGAGCTACAACTAGAAATTTTCGAGTGGCTCTTATACTAAGTTCTTTCTGCTGATTTATGCTTTCAGCCACAAGTTCTTATATACTCCAACCATGACGGGTTGGCCAACGCCATCCCCAGCGCCATGCCTCTGCGATCGCAACAAATCATAGGGAACTTGAACCTTGAGCCCCGAGGTCTTTTAAAGTTACCTCAGGTTCCATCAGAATTTACGCATCGTATGGTTATATCAATGTTCCGATTCGCGTGGGTGCCGGCAATATCAAAAGGACGCTGTCGAAACAGCCACCCCATCATCTTATTGGGACAATAAAACCCGGTGCAAATATCTCGGCGTCCATGACAAGCAAATTATACGTTGGATCCATGATAAATTCGCGTTGGGGGTATCTTCGAATCAAACAGCACGAGGCAACGATCAACAAGTCCGGCATACCGGACATCCACTACGACTTTGCACGACAGGGCGACGTATGCTCAAACTTTGGCGTGCTTGGTATTTAGAAGAACCCTGAGAAACTTTCTGATAATCAGAACTCACAGGAATCGTAGAGATGGTTGCCGCAATTACTTGAGGGACTTTTAATGGTATACCTGGGCACATTTCACCCCATGAACAAGCCCATTATCTTTCCAGTATACTGCACCGACAAGGGCTATGAGCTGACGGATTGTTTCAGAGATGGGTTAGCTCTACGGGACTTCCATGTTCATTCCTTAAATAAAGCGTGGCCACTATTGCAGTGCAGGGCATACGGGAAGGGATGATACACAACAGAAAATATAGCCATGAACCAAAAGTCAATAGTCTAATGGCCTACTAAGATATATAGACCCTGAATGAATCTTATTATTACTTAGAATAGAGGTCTTGGGCTTTCTTGCCACCACTAGCTCTCTTGCAGAATGTTCATACGCTTGCCAATTACATCGCCACGATGACCACCAAGGCAGCCCTGCCTTGGCTAAGACGACCGAGGAAGATGATCCCAGGACCATGATATCGATTAATACGTTTCCTATTATCATATGTTACACGCTAATGCGTCAATACCTCCAAAGCGTATCTTCTTTCGCAGCCTTGATCAGCCACTCACGGCAGACATAATCGACCCTTTTCGCGTGCATTGGTATCTCAATAGGCGAGACATCAAGAAGCCCAGCCGGGTCGTGAATATTTCCGCCTTCCGTGTCAATAATAGGCGAGCTAAACTCATGATTGACAATGACAATCTTCAAAGGTCGTGCATAGGTCGAGTCACCTCCAAACTCGGGGTTCCAAAGTTCGCTGCCAATAGACTGCTTGATGTTCCAAGTCTGAACACGAAGTAAATAAGGTCTTGTGATAACCAGATGCTCGATGTTTCGGTGTAGTGCAACATTGTGCCAGAGCCCTTCGTCACTGAGGTTGATGCTGAATCCAGCGACTTTTCGTAGCTTGGGCCAAATTTGGCTGACGTTGAGCTCACTCCTCCAGAACTCTAATGAAGGCAGGCCGCCTAAGGTGACGAATTCTTCGAGGTTGACCAACGCTTGTAGACCCCGAGAGAAGACTTGATCGATATGCGCATCGATGCTATGTTGCATAGCGATTCTGCGAAACGGCAGGTCAACGATTAATCGGCGGACAGAGCCACCAAGCTCCAGAAAGACATCGCGTACAAGCGCGCTAGCTCGTATCGACTGGATCTCCTCGAGGCTGAGTCCGAGATAGATGGACGACACTGCAGAAAGTGGGATGGTAGGGGGAAGATGGCCGTCTGCCTCCAAAGTCTTGGAGTAGTTTAGGGAGCGCAAGAATTTCTGGAGTCGAGGTATCGAGTCAAGATGTACACAGTGCTGCCGCAGAAACCTTGTCGCCGGTTCATACGTCGCGCGGCATACCCTTGTCCAGGCGACGAGCTGCTGAACTTCCGGGGTTGCAACGTCAATAATCCGATTGGGTTCACCCGACGGGATGGACGTTTCAAGGATCTGAAGGACGATCTCGAAAGGGATATAAAGGTTACGCGTCATATTGAAGGAGCATGTACAAGAGAATGGAGTGTTCTTTGAGGCTGTGTTACGTATGTTTGCTGCGTTGAGGCCGAAGCCTGTATTAAGAGGGTGTTGTTTGGTCGTTGCCTGTTAGGCTACGATTTAATGTCAACATACAAAGGCCAATCTTTCCAGCCAAAAGAGATTGACTTGATTCAGGCACCAGAATTAACTGTGTCGGCTATAACCCGGCCATCAACTTTGGTGGAACATGGACAGAAAGCGACCAGAGGCCGCTGAAATTGTCTGTTTCAGTGCTTGTAGGCGTAGCGATCAACTGTTTTTTTAGCGGTACCTAATGTAACAGCGGGCGGGAGTGCTAGCGAACCTAAGCAAATGGATCTGTGGAACCTGGA